GAAGGGATCATCGAACAACCGTCAGAGTGATCGCCGGAACAGTCGTCGGAGCGACCACCGAAGCTAATGGCTTGTCTCTCTCTATCCCACCTTTTCTATCTCTGATTTTTGAAATTTCAAACTTTATTTCTTAATTTTGAATTTGGTCATATGCATATTCATCCTACTTAATTAGGTTACAGATTCAATAGAACTGGTCACAGATCACAATGTACACAGGTCATAGATCTAATGAAACTGGTCACAGGTCATTGCCAAAAAAGAAGAGAAAAAAAGGTAGTCGACGAAAGATGACGATCACCGGAATAGTTGTCGAAACGGTAGGAGAGGTCGTCGGAATTGTCAGGGAGGTCACCTGAATATTCATCGGAATTTCTCGCCGGAACTGGATAGGTTGTCGGAATTGTTATCAGAGCCGTTGCCAGAATTGTCGGGAGATCGTCAGAGAAGTCGCTGGAGGTGAGGTGGGGTGGAGAGAGAAAGAGAAGGGTTTGATGTGATGGGTGGATTGGAGGTGAAGTGGGATAAGTAGATTAATTATACTATAAATATTTAATAAATTTAATTATCACCTTATTTTTGAAAGATTTTTAGATGTTTGTTAGTTGTGAAATGTGATTTTTAAATGTAGGACTTATGTGGTGTTCCCTTAAAACATTTCCTTGAGCCGAAATTTTTGCCAGTAGCATTACTTAATTAGGCGAAGTTACGAAAAGAGAAGGTTTCGAAACCTCGGTAAACAAAGGCCCACATCGCAATGCCAATGCTACGGCGAAGCAGAAAGGCCAAAGAAAAGAAAGGCGGTTCCTTTAGAGCTTGGAGCATTGTTGGGTTGGCTTATTTTTTGGAATCAAAGAAAAACTTCTTCACATGGGCGGCGTACATACAAGGTTTTTATTCCTTTAGTACCAAGTTTCCTCCTTCCTATTTTGTAAGAAAACGAAACAAAAGTAGGACCAAACTAAGAGCCCGAATTCTTACTAAATTAATCGCTGGAGCATAGACTAGTTAGATCCTTCATTATTAGTCGTTGATTGCTTTACCTGGCCCCCTCGTGCAGAGAAGAGCCCCTTTCTTCTTTTGAGCTTAATATGATTCGGGATTTTAAACTTTGCTTGTCACTCATAAATGATTGATCTCAGAATTTTCTTCACTTATCAGGTATATATTAAAATATATTATTTTGATAAGTTAAAGGGAAAGAATTTAGAATTCAAGAAAAGATAAGTAACTCAGGTTAGAGTTAGTATAATATATCATCGGAAAAATTGCACAATTGGTCGGTTCGAACCTATCTTTTTGTTAACATGTTCATCCTCAACCTTTAAAATGCAGCAAGCTATTCTTTTTAGTACATTTCACTATTATTACACAATCCATCTGTAAGTGTTATGCCCTAGATCCAATCGATTTAGGTTGTAAACGTTTTTAATATATTTAATGCATTTGATTTTGGCAAGATCTATTATTTATTTAAATTAATTTTGTAATAAATAATATTAAATAATAGAATCCGAAGATCCAATTTTAGGTAATCTGTTGATCACAAGGAGTTGTGATTGTGAGATACAAATTACATATAATTGGATCTTGAATAAACCATGGTCGTAAGTAATAACGAGATACGGATATCGTTAATACAGTTAGACCATCACGTGTGGCATTTCTTACTTGTGAAGTAAGTAGCTGATCTCACGAGCTAAAGTGTGGTGACACTTAAATGAACACGTGGATGTTTTGTTATAGAACAAAACATTGGAGACCCGCTAAGAGATTCCACATGGATAACTATCTGAGTGTCAGTGGCTAATCTCTAACGTTCGGTAGTGGAATTGGTCCTTTGACTTGAGGTCGTCATGATACCTTATATGAGGACAGTCATACTTTGGCGGTGTTGGATGTTGCTCTGAAAGAGGCCGCTAATACGACATCGTTCGGGTGTGTCAAGAATCGTATGAAGGTTGTGATTGATCAATAAAGGATTCGTCACTCTTAGATAGTAGGAGATTATGATCTGCGTTTCATTCAATTAAGTCGATAATGAAATTCTTGGCCAAGGTGTACTCATAAGTCGAAAAGGAGTTTTCGATTTATATTGACTTAATTGTGGAATGAAAGATATGATCGATGATCGAGATTGACACAATTCCATATCTCGTAATTGATCGGATCGTATTGACGAAGGGATAATAGTTCCACGGTAAACGAACGATTTTGGTTTTGTCATACCACGTGACATTTCCCGTCACATGTATTGCCCTGACACATTGCTAGATGTCAATCAGGGACAGCGAATGTGAATTGACGATAAATTAAAAGGGTGTATTAATTTATCAATTTTGATTAGATCAAAATAATATTTCACGATGTTAGACATCGTGGTCGGAAACCTAATGAGTCGCACACAAAAGAGAATTGGAAGACTGCAAATTGTCAATTGATTAATTTAACAATCGTTGGATAAATTAATTAATTGAATTTCTTATTTATAATCCCGAATTAATTAATTGGATTAATTAATTCACGGACCGGGTTTGATTAATTGGATTAATTAAATATTGGACCGGACCGGGCCGGGTCCGTTTGGGTTTATATATATATGCAGCTAGGGTTTGAGGTCCATAAGGTTATTCATTATTCTTGCTAGCACAAGAAAGAAACCCTAGCAGTTGCTGTCTTCTCTCTGTGTGGATTTCATTGGAGGCTGGACAATTGGACAGCTGTAGGAGGCAGATTCAAGCTGCTGGAAAGGAATAACGCGAAAGAGTTTGCAAATCACAAGTAAAGGTATATTTCTCATCACAGTTTTTATCTAAATACAAAGCTGAATCCTGAATGGGAATTGAAACTCGTTAAATTCCGCTGTGCATGTTTAAGTAAATTCCCAACACCATCTTCAACGACGAAGTCGATCAATTATCATTAAAGTGTCATGTATCCTTCACTGAATCATGCCTCACTTCAAATTCTTAGATACCACCCTAAGTTGAGAAGAAAAAGTTAGAGACCATTTGATTTGTGTATTAGTTTTCACTTTTCAATTTTGGGTTCGTTTTAAGTTTTATGTTTTGAAATTGTTAAAAATGGTTTTGATTTGTAATTTTGAAAAATTATTTCTCAAAGCACAAAACTAGAAAACATGTTTAGATTAAAATTTTGAAAAATTATTTTATAACATTTTGTTCCATGAAATTTGATTATTTAGTAAAAATAGAATAACTTTACATTAATATATTATTTTTTCATATTTCATATTTTAAAATTTAAAATATTTATTCTTTTGTTTAATTTTCCTTGTCTTGGGTGTTTTTATAATTTTCACTAAAAACATTCAAAATACCAAAAATACGTTTTGAGTTTCGATGATAAATTTCTTTTTTCAAAAAAATATTTTTAGAAATATCTAGCTAAACATGCTTTTAGCATTTTGCAAAATTGAAAACTCAAAACAGCAAGTCTAACGCACCCTTAGTTTCATAAAATACATAGAGATTTTTGACGATTTTTTGTCTTTCAAGTTTTTAGGTCTTATTGTGCAACTATAATGCATCGTTAAAGACTAACTTAAATGAGCAATAGATTGAGAACCTCTGGTGTGGTATTCTTTACAATTTCACACAAGTTAGGCATTGATAATGTTTAAATGAATAGCAACTCTTTTTAAATATTATTGTTTCAATGTCTTTGTTGTATACTCCACGTGGTCCACTAATTAGCATAATCATGTCAGGTTCACTACTCAATTAAAACATTGTAGACCAGTTGTGAAATGTACAAAACATTCACACCAGGTACCTTTCATTCTTGCTGTGCATTTAAAACTAAATAGTACCGCCCTGCCCCCACAGTCCTCGACATCGCTCAACCACACAATATGCATTCAACAACTCATAATCATCTTTTCGTTTTATTTGTCTGGTAGGCTGGTATATCCGATAGTACTTGTATTTGTCACTTGATCTTTGTTTTGTCCAGTTATGCCCGATGCATTTGCACATGAGTTTTGGTCAATATAATTTCACATTTATCGATAAAAAAACTAAAAATCATTATAACACAGAGAAAATAATATGGATTGCTCAGATACAATTTATTGAAAATTAATTAGTAGTCAAAAGAAGTCATAAATTACAAAATTTTTATCGAAGTCTACTAGTTCCAAAATTTAACTAAGTACTTATATTTATGTTATAATTATCCTAATTAATGACAAAAGGGTTCGGTAGAATTACATTTGTCGCTTGATTAATTGATGTCATTCACTACAAAAAAAATTGCATCCAGCGACCAATAAGATTGGTCGCTAAAAGGTCTTTCCTGGTCGTTGGAGCCCTTTTGCGACCATGTATCTGTCGCTTAATGGTCGCAAATTCACCGTTGGTAAATCTCTTTAGTGACCATCCATACTGGTTGCTGTACATGTCATATCCAACGACCACATATTGGTCGAGATAGGGTTTGATTTTTGGTAGCTGATAAATTGAATAATTTGTTGATTTGCTTCGTCAAATGTCTTTTACGACCAAGAAGGATTGTCGCTGAGTGTTATATATTTAGCGACCAACATGGTCGCGAAAAGGATTATGCTTTGGTTGCTCATAATTGTTAGAAGTTTGTTGCTTATACTCTTTTGCGACCACACGTTGGTAGGTAAATATATTAAAACAAAATATTTTCACACTAACAACAACCAATAATTGGTTGGTGAAGATAATGAAATAGTTACCAACCTATGGTTGGTGAATAGTGCTACCTTTCGTGGACCAATCGTTGGTCAGTAAACATTGATAACTATAGTGACCAATCATTGGTCGGTGAAGGACAACAATTTTTTCCTTATTTTTCAGTGACCATAATTTGGTTGCAGAATTGATATTATCAACCAATATGTGGTCGCTAGACGTATGTATTAATGCTTTTCTATTAAATATTTTTTTTGTTCCTGCTAATAATTTGTCCAATATTTCAATTTTCAACCATCACAATTACTAATTTAACAATATCAAAAGCTATAGAATATTAAATTTAACAAAAAATATGTTGCTACAAAAGAAAATTGTATTTCGTAGATAACTAGTAATAGTCAATGCATAATCATAAATGTCTAATATCTAACCACGAAAAGATAAATTGTAACTTCAATAATGTAATCATAGTACTGTACACTGATAGTGCTGGTGGAGATGATGGAGATGGATTATTAGTTGGTTCTGTTGGACGATGCTGACTCATATCCATTCTTATAACAAGGCTCTGGATAAGTAACGCTTGTTGTTTGAGACTGTGTAAGCTCACTAATAGTTTTATCCTTCTCTTTGTCTTGTTTTGTAAGAATTTCCAACTGTTGCATCAATTTAGGGGGAGCCGTAACTGTGTTGCTGTATGATTTGCGTAGAGCGGGTCCAATTCCAGAAATAGTCCCAACACTCTTACCAAGAACTCGAGCACATATTTCTGCTTCATCCATTATAGATGCTTAATCTTCAATCTCTGCTTGTGATTGTTGTAACTCCACCATTTCTTTCTGTCATACAATAGAAAAATGTTAAAATAAATAATATTAATGTTAAGATCTTTGTGTAATAAATGATATATCTTACATATCGAGACTCGGCTAGTTGGTTATCCCAAATCCTTTTGATGTGGAATGCATCCTCCTAAACAACTCAATATGTCCAATTAATTCTTCATTTGTAGACTGAAAAAGTTGGAGAAAATGTCATAATATAGTCAAATTAGCAAATAATTGATAACCTCAACATGTCATAATATAGTCAAATTAGCAAATCACCAAAGTAGTGAAGAGTATAAAGCTTGTCAAAGTTTAAATTCAACTAAAACTATCCCATAGAACTATGGCATCAGGGACTAAAAAGCATATCCAGTAACATTTCAACAACATTTAATGACAGTCAAGGGATATAAAACATGTTAATACTCCTTCTAGAAATCAGCCGACATTCAAATGACAACCTTTTAAAAAAAAAAAACTAATTTCATCATTTTTAGAAATCAAGTCTACTTTCTGAATATGTATTTTATGAAGCGCACTTAGAAGTTGAAATAGTCTAGTAAAACTAAACACGAAATAATTACGTCGGATCAACCAAAGGACATTTAATTATTCCTATTTCAACTAAAGGAAGCAAATTTAAAATATTAAGCCTCATACTCAAGCCTAAATTAGGGGAAAAATACCTAATTCATCATTTAAGTCCAAAGGGTTATAATTCTAACATAGTGAGCAATGATGAGTAGACTAGTGATATATATTAACAACAATTAATAAAACACATTTCAGCTTAAGAAAATTGAATGCTATTTAACCAACCAACTTTAATAGCAATACTTATTCTAGAAGTCAACATGTTTAACAAAAACTACTGAATAAAAGTGCAAGAGATTAAGTCTATTAGATTACCAGTGCTTCCCTAGTTGCGGTAAATGATCTAGTCCCTCCATGGTGACTATAAAGAAGCTTCGAATGATTGAGTTTCCCAGTTGCAGATCGTTTCTTAAAACCAACCACAATATCTCAAAGTGAGTAATTTGGCATCTCATTCATTCAACTTTAATTAACAATATTGTAAAGTAGTATAATAACTTAACGTACCAAAAGCTTATCACTTTCAAAATGTGCACACATCCATTCCCAGTCCTCTTGTGATTTAACAGTTGATGGCCTACATTGTAGTGGATCTTTTTCATCCAATTTTAATTGTTTATATTTTTTATTACATGCACTTCTGTGTTCTTTGTATCTCTCACAACAATGTCTTTCAACAATTTCAACCATCTGTTGATCATTTAAATCAACATCAAATTTTCCCTGAACGTAGAGAAAATAAGACTTTAGTGATTATAGTATTACGCATAATCCAAATGAATTACAAAATTTACTTACAAGAAGACGATTATAGGCTGATTTTCTATCATGAGGAGTTTCTTGACTCCAACCGGTCAAGTGTTACGAAATAATGTTTCACACGATGATACCAATCTCATTAGCAAATGGCGAGGATGTCTCATCGAAATATGCATATCTCCTTCCCTGGCTTGTACAACTAATTTTTTCTTACTAGCATCCATTATTTTCTGAGATGCCAAACCACGACTAATTCCTCGCTTTTTTTATGAAGAGAACCTAAAAGATATTTAAAGATAATTAATATTGTTGAATATGAAGAGTCAATCCACATTACCTTAAAAATCATTAAATACATACCATTGGACGACCCTTGCTCAGCAGTATCCACAAAATCAGTAGGATCTACACTAGATTGAGTAGTCATATTTATACCTAATTGAGCTATAGAAGGTGTCGAAATAGGAATGTGTAATTGATTAGAGTGCTCTCCTTGTTGACAAGGAGATGGGCTCCATTGCTAGAGCTTCGAGGAGTCGCAGATGCTATGGGTAACACGTGCTTTGACTTTCTTTAAGTGGCATCTGTATTTGTATTAAGAAAACATGCAAAGCAAAATCGATGAAGAAATAAATACATATTATGAATAATTGTATATTAGCAAACATAAAACAAATCCCACACCCAAGATCATACTTTTTTTCCTTCCCTTCTCGTATATAGCTCATCTTGCCAATCATACCATATGTGAATAAGACAACCAAAAAGTAAGAAACCATACCGTATTAATGAAAGGTTCAATTACATTAGTCTAACTATAGTTAGAAATCTTCAATTAAGATGCATTTCTTATTTATTCTAATAAGAATTAATGAAAACGAAACTTAATTATCAATGAAGATTCGCAAGAAGTTCATTGGATATGGCCTTGTTACAACATTGTGGAAAATGGCAAATGAGTTATTCAGTACATACTTACGTAACGGACAACTACTCAAATGAGTCTGAATCATCAGTGTCTTTACTATTCAACAATGGTTCATCTTCGATTTCCATATTACTAAGACTACCGGTCAATGTATCTTCATTCACTTCTTTATCTTGCAATACTACTTGTGTCGGATGAACATCTTCTCCATTAAGTTACTCAATGTCAATTGACTTAAATGTTATCTCAACATCTTTAGAATTTCTTTCTTGATAAGCTTCGCTTTCACCATGTTCAACATTATTGTCATTACCATCTCTTTCATCCAAATTGTCTGGAACATCCAACACACGACGATGATGGAACTTTTGAACCACCTTCCAATTTTGACCCAGCTTATAATCATCCTCATAGAAAACTTGGCAAGCTTGTCTAGCTAGCACATAAGGTTCATTTTCATACCAATGTGCACTTACATTGATGCTCGTGATGCCAATGTCTGTGTGTATATTCTTTCTACTTACATTTGTGTCATACCACATGCACTTAAAAAGTTCAACTTTGTGGTAAAAAATGTAATTCAGTTCAAGAATCTCCTCAATTAGCTCATAGTAATTACAAGATTCACCTTCAACCCAAATGCCACAATTTTGTGTTACACGTCCAGCATCACGTGATTTGGTGCGATACCGAACTCCATTCACATCACATGCACTATATGATTTTATTCTGTAATCTGGTCCACATGCTAGTGCATACAACTCTTTGCTTACATTAGGATCCTTACATAAATTTGTCGATTTAATTTTTGAAAATGCATGCATAACAATTAGAGGGTAACATAATACTAAATTAAAAAAAAAAACACAAAATTTTGAGCCTGGAAAAGAACTTACTTTTTCTTTAAACCAACCTAGAAATTCTTTTTCACGTATTTCATCAATGTTAATGACACCTCTATTTTGCAATACTCCAGTGTGCTCGCTTTAATTATGATATAATTAGTATTATATTGTACTAACTTATAATAGTGGTACAGGTGTTATATGGAAAGTCCGTACGTTACGTAACATTCCAACTCCATGCAATTATAAAGAATGTACCAATGAGCTTTATTCTTTTCGTCATGTGACATCTCAAGGCATTGAATGCTCCCAAATGGCTTTACAAGTTGAGTGAAAACCGATAAAGTTGACTAACTTTGCTTATCGTAGCCCCCAGTACGTTTTGGTCTGTTGAATTGAGTTTCAATACCATGAAGGTACATCGAACAGTAAGTCAATGCCTCCTTATTGACATATCCCTCAGCAATTGAACCTTCTGGACGAGCTTTGTTTTTCACATATTTTTTCAATGTTCTTAAAGCTCTAAAATGAAATTAAATAACCATTAATTAGGATGCATACATACTTGCAAACATGATTATCTTAAAAGTGTTGATATTACCTTTCAAATGGATACATCCAACGAGTATGCACTGGTCCAGTCATCTTCACCTCATAGGGTAAATGGATTGCTAAATGGACCATGATATCGAAGAAGGTAGGAGGAAATTTTTTTCCAACCTGCACAATGTAATTACAATCCTATCTTGCATAGCATCTAAGTCCGACACAATAAGCTTCCGAGCACAAATTTTTCGGAAGAACATGGCTAACTCAGTAATTGTAGTACAAACCTCCTTATTGACATAAGGTCCTATACCTATTGGAAAAAGCCGCTGGAATAGAACATGAAAGTCATGACTTTTCAAACCCGTGATCTTACCATCCTTGACATTCACATTCTTAGAAATATTTGCAGCAAATCCATCTGGAAATTGGACAGATTTTATAAACTTCCAAAACTCTCTTTTCTCATCCAATGTCAATGAATAACATCCTATCGGCTTCAAAACTTGATTACCATGACGTTGCAAATGCAAATGCTTTCAGATTCCCAAGTCCTCTAAATCCATCAGTGCCTTAACAGTATCTTTTGATTTACCCTCAATACCCAACATTGTTCCAGTGACATTTTCACATATATTTTTCTCAATGTGCATCACAACCAAGATATGTCTTATTTTAACTCAGACCAATAAGCAAGTTCAAAAAATCTACTTTTCTTTGTCCAATTTAGTTTACATGAATCACGTTTTCTCTTCCTGTCAACATTATCAGGACGTTTCCCTGGTTTTCCCTTCCTTGCTGTGTCTAATTGTTGTAGTATTTTAACTCCTGTAAAGTTTCTTGGAGTTGGTCTCCGTTCAGACTTTCCATCGACTTGTGTATTATTCCTCCATGCATGGTGTATTGATAAATATCGTCGGTGTCCCATGTAACAAATCTTGTTTCTCAATGGTTATGACGATATGTCTTCTCTACATATAGGACATGCTTTATAGCCCTTTGTACTCCATCTGCATACTATCCCATATGCTGGAAAGTCATGTATCGTCCACAACACTGCTGCATGCATTCTAAAATTTTCATTTTTTGACACATCGTAAGTCATGACACCTCTATCCCACAAATATTTTAACTCATCAATTAAAGGTCTTAGATATATATCAATATCCTTTCCGGGTGCCTGTGGACCAGGTATCAATAACGACATCATGAAAATGTTTTCCTTCATACACATCCATGATGGCATATTATATGAAACCAATATCACTAGCCACATACTATATCCATTGCTCATGTTACCAAAATGGTTAAATCCATCAGTCGCAAGACCTAAACGAACGTTTTGAGGTTCTGCAGAGAATGTTGGAAACTTTTCATCAAAGTGCTTCCATGCTTCTCCATCAGTTGAATGCTTTAACACACCTTCTTTGTTAGGACGTTTCTCTTTATGCCATCTCATATCAGCAGCAATATGTCGAGACTTAAACAGTCGCTATAATCTTGGAGTGATAGGAAAATACCGTAAGATCTTATGAGGAGTACGTTTACCCTTAGCATTTTCAAATTTGTAACGTGGTTCAGTACAGTTAGGACATTTATCCAAATCTTTATTCCACTTCAAAAACAGTGCACAGTCCCATTTACACGCATCAATTGACTCATATCCTAAACCAAGTTCTCGTGACGTACGTCTTACCTCATATAGTGATTTTCCAATCTTAGTTCCTTCTGGAAATGCTTCCCTCAGTAATTGAAGTAACATGTCAAATGACTTGTTACTCCAACGATTTAACACCTTAACTTCACTATAAATGTCAGTACAGAAAATTTGGTACAACCTGGGTATAACTCTTTTTCAGCTTGCTGAAGTAGATCTGAAAATCTTCTTTAGATGTATTTTGTTCTTCGGGAAAATCATCTCCAGTAACATTAATATACATTCCCCCCGCAGCATCTTGCAATGCTGCCATTATATCATCATCTTCCTCATCTTCCACATCATCTTGGACACCTTTTGAATGATTATCAACAGTACTCACTATCATTGGTTCTCTATGAAAAATCCAATTTTGATAATTTTGAGAAAATCCTTTCACCCATAAATGCCGTTCAACCACATCAATATTTTGAATGTATACAATACGACAGTGCCGACAAGGACAACGAGTCTGGTTATCATTGCCAAGATGATTTTTTGCCAGTTCGATGAATGATTTTATCCCATTAGTGTATTCATTTGACAACTTATCTTGACACCATATCCGAACTTTATCCATGTTGATACCAGAATTTACTTAACTGAAATAAATAAATTAACAAAAAGAGAAATTAGAACAAGATAAACATAAATTAACAAAAAGAGAAAATTACATTTAAGTGTTACTGAAGATGGTTAAATGCATATAAGGGTATTTTTCATACACTTAAATCCCTACATTACTAGTAGGGAAAAGGGGAAGAAGGAAGATAACAAATGAATTGCGAAAAGAAATGGTTTTTTTTTTTCTATGTTGACACCAATACTCAAAGTAAAAGAAGATAAAGTATAAATTCGGTGAAAATATATTAAAGAATTGGTTCTTAAAGTAATCTACTACTATGATGTTTCACTATTGATTTTCATTTTCTTTTGGAATTGGTTAGAGGTTTTCTGTACTTTCACTTCACACTCTTAAATTCCAATATCTCCATATGAAATGTAGAATTAAACTTCGAATAAATTCTGCATACAATCATATCATGGTGCCATTTTCTGATATTTTTCTCTTCTTGAATTGCAATGACTTGTGTGGCTTTGTAATCTAGTAATTGAGAAACTACCATAACTAAGCTCTGTGGACCTTGGTGGGAGAGAAAAAAATAAAAAATAAAAGAAACTTATATATCTAGGAGGGAGTAATATCAAGATCTAATTTTTCAGTAATGGAGCAATTCCATTGCAGCAATTAAAATTAAAAATGATAAGTGAAAAAACAGAACAAGTCCTATGGGGTTAATTGGATCTAAATAACACCAAATTTAATTATCACAAACGATTTAAAAAAAGAAAAATTGAGTCGTTGTTTACACATTCAGCATCACAACATAAAATCAAAAGCTTAAGTTAACAATATTTGCATTCCCAAAGAACATGTTGTTAAATATGCTAGACGTGAAATTCTATAATAGTCCTTGAACAAAAGCAACAACTAATAAGAACGGTTATATCCATTTTCATACAACTGGTAAAATTGTAAAATCATTTCTATATTTTTCCTTTTCGGCACAACCCAAAACTGATTAATGGACATGCTTCATTGGGTTTTGTCTCATTTCATACTCCTTTGTGATGATCTTATATATATAATAAACCCATACAAGCTTAACACATTGTCAAGATTTCAATATTTCGTCGTAGTATAAAAAATTCTAATTACTATTATATAAATTGAATTCAGCCTGACAAAAACTTGCTCACTATGATCTCCAATCTCAATATGTTCCAACATTGAAATTTTCTCAAGCCTCACAACCCGAGCTTTATCATCCCTCAGCTTCCATTAAATATTACAATCAAATCTTTAAATCACAAATTCATCACTAAGAAGTCAACAGACATGCAAAAATCTCCATACTGAGTTAGAAAGCAAATTAGATTGTTCATGAAATCAAATATAAAAGTTAATAACAAAAAGTCAAGTGATCACTCACAATTGGCCACACATCAAACACCCTACTCCTCACCCCCACCTTGGTGGGAGCAAAAAAAATTAAAAGAAACAAATACATACTAGAGGGAATAATATCAAGATCTAATTTTTCAGTAATGAAGCAATTCCATTGCAGCACTTAAAACTAAAAATGATAATTGAAAATACAGAACAAGCCTTGTGGGGTTAATTGGATCTAAATAACACCAAATTTAATTATCACAAAAGACTTAAAAAAAAGAACCCCCAAATTAATCTGCAGATGATACTTACCCAACTATATTACTTGGATAAACCACCAGTAAAAAGATAGAAACAGATAATCTTCCAGCCTCATTCAAAATTTACAATCAATGTAAAACAACGAGTGATACCGGAATGTAAAACAACTAGTGATACCGAATATTTCGAATGAAAAATTATAAATACACAAGCAAGAAATAGGGCTAAGATATTGTCTACTATATGTATAGAGGGAACCAGTAATCATATTGAAAAACAACGAGTGAAAGAAGCTGAGTATATGTATTTAGAGAAGCAGTGATACCTGAGATGCAGTGGCAGGGGCTTGTGTCGAACACTGGACCAGGTATTTGTGGATTGCTGAGATGCAATGGCAGCGGTAACGGCTCGAAGAAGAAGACGTGGAGAAGGGTTGAACTATGGACGTGGGTTATGGACTTTCATCTACCTTTTACATGGAAAGTTAATAGATTTAGTTATTTTGAAAATCAATTGTAATTGGGCTATGTTTTTAGGGCTATATTTAATGGAGATTAAAATTATAAATTTGGAATTAAAAATCAATTCTCTATATATTTTAATCTCCAAATTAAAATTATAAATGATGAAATGTATAGTTGAATTAATTCAAATATGAAATAAATATGCAAGGAGAGTATAGCTTTGTATTGGTATTTTATTGAGTTGATTAATTTTGGAATTAATTTTTTTCAATTTTTAATTCTATTTATTTAGAATTAATTAGAAATATTAGGGAATGTAAATTTTGTAGGTTGCAAAATATTGCTTTTATTGTATTGTGATCCGGTCCATTTTCATTAATAAATGTAATTTGGTTGAGTAGATATCTTGCATAGAGTGGTCGGGGTTGTTCACGAAATTATTTGTTTCAATTCGAAACCCACCGTAAGTGTACGGTTCGTTAACAAGTAGTAAAGCGGATTAAATGAGTCCGAATATCGTCCCACAGAGATTGATTTGTTCAATTTTACCTATCGTCGCCTTAACCGAAACAATAGAAATTCTTGATATTTTCGCTAACTAAATTATGATTTAATAACATACTTATAAATATAAAGCCTAAATTAACTAGATTAAATGCGTGATTATAACTAAATGCAAGTTTTATAAAAATGTGATAACGAAATGCGTACTAGGATCCCGAATCCCCTTATATCGATCCCCTTTAATTCGAATTTTATAAAATTGACAACACGATTCAATTATGAATACCAATATTCCTAATTTGTTTAAAAATCTCTCTCGAGTAGAATTAAACTTATTTTCACATGCGATCCGACTATATTTCTATGACAGATGCGAACATATAAAAATGCATTAAAGATTTATGAATACTTAAAGATCACGTAAAGCATTGCGGTATATTTCTATCCCCTATCGAACTTTACGACAAGTAACATAATGTCTAACTTATTTTCCATCTCTCGAGGGTAAAATAAGCCACAAAGCTCGTACAACTATTGCGCACATAATTGTAGAGAAAATAAAATCCATGCCAGTCATTCAATAATTAAAAACATGTTTTAGCGTCAAATTAATAAAATTTAAGATTAAGGGTTCATAATATAAGGTTCATCGCAAATCCTAGCACATGAAAATCTAACCTAACATAATGGGAAATAAAGAAAAACAATAACTAAAACCAAGGAAGAACATCACCCAATTGATTCTTGAAGTGAAATCTTGAATCTTGAAGTGGATTACCTTGTTTTTGCCTTGTTCTTCCTCTCCAAATCCTCTAAAATTGTGTATATTCCCCCCTTCAATACATTCTCCTCTTTCTGGACGTCTTTTGGTATTTATATTGCGTGAAATTAGGTTACCAAAAGAGTTTCAGTCATATAAGGAAACTACAGAATTAGCCCGAAATTGTTCTATGCAACCGCATAGTGCATTTCTATGCTGTCGCATAGAGTAAAAAAATTTGAGAAAAAATTCTCGGGAGGCTTCTATGCGACCGCATAGTTATGCGATTCTTTCTGCCGGACAGTTTTTAGTATTTTGGTCATAATATTTTCTCCTGATCTTCGATTGAAGTGATTCAAAGTGAATTGGGAAGAAAACTCAAAGATCTACACTTTTGATAGAAATAGGCTTCCTCAAATTCGGATGTTTACTATGCCAAAAATGGATCTCAAATAGAGACTAAAAATCACGAGCATAGCTTTTTCAACTGAAAGTTGATACTTGATAATACTTCGATCATATTTCACCTCTTGACTCCTTTCCTCATCCAATTGACCTCTAACACTCTTGAATCTTCATTCCATTTCCCGTCTCATCTATGGATTATTTTCAACTTGGTCACCGAACTTACAGTTTGATTCATTTTGGTCCTTTTTGCTTGTTTCTTTTATTTCCATCATCTCATAATATCACCAAATTGGTACTTAGCTCATTCACTTCCTTGATTTGTCCTTCAGACCATCTTTTGGATAATTGCACTTTGGTCCCTAAACTTTTACTTTGAGTCATTTTAGTCCTTTTTCGCGTCTTTTCTCCTGAATTTCATCATGTTTATCGATGTTCCCTACAATTCACAAATGTAACAAAATTAAGTCACAATTCAATCATTTTGCTCGTAATTAAGTCATGTTTGTGACCTAGATAAGTGTGCAAAAACACACTTATCAAACCCCCCAAACTTGAACTATTATTTGTCCTCAAACAAGATAGTGACTTAATTCTGAACAAACAAGACTTAATACCCTACTGTGGCTCAGGATTGGACTAAGTATTTGATTTTATGAAAATTTATCAGTGCAAAAATGACATCAACCTTTACCTGTTAAATGCGTACTTGACGTGTGTGTGAATTCATGCCAACATATTAGGTTCATGATGAATTTGAGTCCCGACCCCAAGTGGTCAAACGTATCCTTACTCGCTCGAGAGATACACAATCCCCCAAATTAATTCTTTTCACCCAATTATCCCGATGTTGTGTTTTAAGATTAGGAATTTACATAGGTGCAGTCCTCATCCTCTCGTAGTTTGGGTTAATCTCACTATCACAAGTTTACGTTTCAACAAGTGAAGGCTCTCCCAAGTGTGATTGCTTCGACACTCAAGATTAAAATAGATTACTTGCCTAGTCTCAAAGGTATAGTTTCCTCAACCAAATGTCTAAGGGCTTTTCTTCATGTTATTGTCTCTCTTTTATTTTTCTCACTTTCCAAATTTTTTTTTTAATATATCATCTTCTCATTTGCTTTCTATATGACCCCTTTAGCGAACTTTAGGCCAATGACTCCCAAACCAATTGGCTTTAGGGCATCAGGTTTTAAACCCTTGCAAACTTATTCACTCGAGTTATAAAGACTTAATCGGATGACTTTTTATTAACCTTTTTCCCTCTTGCTTTCTATATGACTCTTTTAGCGAGCTTTAGGCCGGTGACTCCCAGGCCAGTTGACTTTAGGGCTCCAGATTTTGAAATATCCTTACAGGCTTACTTGCTCGAGTCATAAAGGCATGAAAAAAAGTGTCTTGTTCTCACAAATTTATTTTATGCCCTTATTATTCTAGACATTTAGTTTCCAAAACCAACCCCTAATTTAAGATTTTCACCTAATATTCATCTCACTGATCTAGGCAATCCACATAATAAAATTCATGCACGGAGCCCCCGCTCGTCTCAATGCTCCCCTATAATAGCTCAACCATCACCAAACTGTCTTAAGGTAGTTTACGAGTTAATTCAATAGAGGGTTATCATTCTTTTCCTACTTTATGATCAAAATTCAGTCATTCAACTAACATGTCAAGCATGAATAGCGTGCATAGATAATGTCAAGTGTTGCATTAACAAGTATCATTTAGTCTAATTAACACCAGATCCAAAGTTTTGCAGTTTAAACAAGTCCAATAATAACATCATAGCTAGCAAGGTTATCAAGCACACACAAGCATGCATGAAATTTTTTTTAACGCTCATCATGCATACATTATGCAATAATGGAATACAGATACTGATGAATGCAGGTAAAGATTTCAATGTATGTCACCCCCCAAACTTAGTTAATATATTGTCCTCAATGTAAGATTAACAAAAGAATAAAGACATAATTTTAAGGACAAAATGAAGAAGAAAAATCAAAATGGGGTAAAACAATACTCCCCTGATCAAAATGGTGGTTGTGATCGAAAATAGGGACCTACAATGCCATATGTGGAGCCGACTTTTTCTTTTCATGTTGAGGTCATTTTGACGACATCCTACAAAAGTGCAAAGTATGTGTATTATATCTTATGGTGATAATTGATACATTTGGGTGTGCATGAAGGAATCTATGTGACGCATCATTCCGCCAAACTTATTTCAAGGTGCATGTGTACACTGTTGGTGTGTAAGATGCATAAATTATATCTCAATATAAAGTTTGTATCACAAAAATGTGAATCACCAACAAAATTTAGCTCTAATCATGCACTTTGTTCAATTTGACCCATGACTGACTAAAACAGGACGTCAACCTTATGACCCATGGTCAATGCATTGGGACTCGTGTAGATTGTGCTTAGGCTATTTATTGACATGCGTGGATGAACGATGACCTAAACTAATAAAAATGTTGAAATTTTGAAAAACTCCAAGACTAATGCAAAATGAAATAAATAAAGGGTAGAGACGTTGGGTTGCCTCCCAATTAGCGCTATTTTTATAGTTGATAGCTCGACTTTTGGCACAGGTATTTTATGGCACTTTAAATATGGCTTGGGAGGTCCTGCATAGTTTGCTCAATATGGTCTTATTTCGCACTGCGGTTATCCTCCTAATTTCATCCCTGTCTTTCTCCAAGTGATTTGTCATTCTTTCCTCATCCGTATGAAATCCCACATTGAATGCCTTAATCTCCTTTGAATCGATAAGAACGGATGGAGAGTGTACTATACAGGCCTCATGAATGTTTGGCTGTTTCTTCAACTCAAAATTATAGGGGATTCCTATGTCAAGCACTTCAATCTGGAAACAACTTTCAGGCTCGTTGGGTATTTCATTGTCATGAAAACATTAAAAGAGACATGTTCCTCCCCCAACTTCAGAGTTAATTGTCCTTACTGCACATCTATGAAGGCTCTTGCAGTAGCTAAAAATGGTCATCCCAATATAATAGGCACGTCCTTGTCTTCTTCCATATTCAAAATCAAGAAGTCTGCTAGGAATATGAGTTTATCCACTTTGACCAATACATCTTCAATAATCCCTCGTGGATGTGTAAGTGATCGATCAGCTAGCTGTAGAGTTACTGTGGTTGCCTTAGGCTCTCCCAATCCTAGTTTCCTGAAAATAGAGAGTGGCATCAAGTTAATACTCGTACCGAGATCACACAATGCTTTATCAAAATAAAAATCACCAATTGTGCAAGGGACAGTGAAACTCCCTGGATCTTTCAATTTTGGTGGGAGCTTTTTTTGGATTCTGGTACTGCATTCCTCCGTAAGCATTACTGTCTCATGGTCTTCCAGCTTGCGTTTGTTTGATATAATATCTTTGAGAAACTTCGCGTAGCTAGGCATCTGGAATAGTGCATCGGCTAGTGGGATGTTGATATGGAGCTTTTTGAAGACTTCTAGGAATTTTTTGTACTGTTGCTCCAATTTTTGCTTCTTCAACCGCTGTGGAAAGGGAATCGAAGGCTCGTATGGGTTGATTGTGACTTTGGCCCTATCCTGTGACTTGTCTGAATTTTCCTTTGGAGTTGATTCCTTTACAACAGTCTCTTCTTCAGTAGGGAAAGATGTCTCTCCAATCACACCCGGTCTCTTGACATGGATTTCAGGCAATTGTACTCTACTTCGAGTTGTTATGGCCTTGGCTTGCTCTTTAGGATTGATTTCTGTGTTACTCGGCAAGTTACGTGGCGTTCTGCCAGTCAATGCTATGGCCAACTATCCCATCTGAGTTTCCAAATTTTTGATTGCTGCATTTTGATTTTGAAGTGTAGCTTCAGCTTTCTCCATGAATTTTCCTATCACATCTTCCAAATGAGGCCTCTTCTCTTATTGTTGAAATTGTTCCCATGGCCTATTTTGATTCTGGTTGCTCCAAGAGAAGTTGGGATGCTTCATCCAATTAGGATTGAAAGTTTCTCCATATTGATTGTGTTGTTGGCGTTGTCCCCACTGTGCATACTCTACTTGCTCAATTCCTTGCATGAGTATTGGGCATTCCGATGTTTTATGCTCAACTCCACATTCCTCACAATTGCTCTTCTTAGTTTGTGCTGCTTGTGATATGCTTTCCACCTTGTGATACAGAGAGTCGATTTTTGTAGATATTGTTGAATAAGTATCCACCTCGTAGACGTCTGGAGTTGTCCTTGGAATCACCCTCTCAGAAGACCACATGGCTGATGTGGTAGCCATTCTCTCAAATAATTCCAATGCCCCATCAACTGTTCGTGTGGATATTGAGTCATCTGATGCTGAATCCACCATGCTCTTGTGGTATGGATGTAACCCTGTGTAGAAGAATCGGATTTGGGTCTTTCTATCAAACCCATATTGAGGGCACTTCTAGAGCATGTTTTTGAATCTGTTCCAAGGTTCGTCAAATGATTCGATTTCTTCTTGATTGAATACTGATATGTTATGTCTCAACTTCGCTATCTTGGTTGGAGAGAAAAATTTTGTGCAGAATTTGTGTGCCAACTCGTTAAAGTGAATCCAACCATTCAAGTGCTCTGTCTCGTAGCATATGTGGAAACAGCCTTAGCCTAATAGCGTCGTCCGAAATCCCTTGGTATCTGAAATGTTGACACATATCCAAAAATCGAGATATGTGTGTATGTGGATTCTCCTCGGCTTGTCATAAAACTGGTGTCCATTTTGAAATAGCTGTATCACATTGGTCTTCAACTGGAAATTTGGTTGTCCAAACGGTGGATACACTATACTGGATTGACTTTGAATTACTTGAGGAGCCAAGAAATCTCCCAGAATCTCATTTCCTTTGTCCAGTGCCTATCCTTCATTAGCTTGAATAATGGGATTGTTTAGTTCATTAACCATTTGTACTTGTGCTTCTCGGTGATCTCTTTGTAGTCGATGAAAGGTACGCTCGATTTCAGGATCAGCTGGAATCAATTCTCCTCTAGTCGATCGTGGCATGCAAATCTGAGAAACAAAACCAGTACGAGCACTGAGATTCAAACAAATTAAATAACTAAAACACAAATAAAGGATAATAACCTAAAATAGAAATAAAAACAAAATTATACTAGAAAAATTAAAATTGAAGTTCGAATTAGCGCCTCGATAAATAAAATTAAACTAAACTCAATTCTCGGCAACAGCGCCAAAAACTTGTTCACGAAATTATTTGTTTCGATTCAAAACCCACCGTAAGTATAAGGTTCGTTAACAAGCAGTAAAGTGGATTAAATGAGTCCGACTATCGTCCCACAGAGATTGATTAGTTCAATTTTACCTATCGTCGCCTTAACTGAAATAATAGAAATTCTTGATATTTTCACAACTAAATTATGATTTAATAACATACTTATAAATATGAAGCCTAAATTAACTAGATTAAATGCGTGATTATAACTAAATGCAAGTTTTATAAAAATGTGATAACGAAATGCGTACTAGGATCCCAAATCCCCTTATATCAATCCCCTTTAATCCGAATTTTATAAAATTGATAACACGATTCAATTATGAAGATCAATATTCCTAATTTGTTTAACAATCTCTCTCGAATAGAATTAAACATTTTTTCACATGCGATCCGACTATATTTCTATGATAGATGCGAACATATAAAAATGCATTAAAAATTTATGAATACTTAAAGATCACGTAAAGCATAGCGGTATATTTCTATCCCCAATCGAACTTTACGACAAGTAACATAATGTCTAACTTATTTTCCATCTCTCGAGGCTAAAACAAGCCACAAAGCTCATACAACTATTGCGCACATAATTGTAGAGAAAATAAAATCCATCCCAATCATTCAATAATTAAAAACATGTTTTAACGTCAAATTAATAAAATTCAAGATTAAGGGTTCATAATATAATGTTCATCGCAAATCCTAGCACACATGAAAATCTAGCCTAACATAATGGGAAATAAAGAAAAACAATAATTAAAATCAAGGAAGAACATCACCCAATTAATTCTTGAAGTGAAATCTTGAATCTTGAAGCGGATGGCCTTGTTTTTGCCTTGTTCTTCCTCTCCAAATCCTCCAAAATTGTGTAAATTCCCCCCTTCAATACCTTCTCCTCTTTCTGGACGTCTTTTGGTATTTATATCGCGTGAAAATTAGGTTACCAAAAGAGTTTCAGTCGTATAAAGAAACTACAGAATCGGCCCGAAATTGTTCTATGCGACCGCATAGTACATTTCTATGTTGTCACATAGAGTAAAAAAATTTGAGAAAAAATTCTCGGGAGGCTTCTATGCGACAGCATAATTATGCGATTCTTTTCGCCAGACAGCTTTTAATATTTTGGTCATAACGTTTTCTTATGATCTTCGATTGAAGTGATTCAAAATGAATTGGGAAGAAAACTCAAAGATCTACACTTTTGATAGAAATAGGCTTCCTCAAATTCTGATATTTACTATGCCAAAAATGGATCTCAAGTAGAGACTAAAAATCACGAGCATAGCTTTTTCGCCTGAAAGTTGATATTTGATAATATTTCGATCATATTTCACCTCTTGACTCCTTTCCTCATTCGATTGGCCTCTAACACTCTTGAATCTTCATTTCATTTCCCGTCTCATCTATGGATTATTTTCAACTTGGTCCCCGAATTTACAGTTTGATTCATTTTGGTCCTTTTTGCTTGTTTTTTTTATTCCCATCATCTCATAATATCATCAAATTGGTACTTAGCTCATTCACTTCCTTGATTTGTCCTTTGGACCATCTTTTGGATAATTACACTTTGGTCCCTGAACTTTTACTTTGCATCATTTTAGTCCTTTTTTGCGTCTTTTCTCTTGAATTTCACCATGTTCATCGGTGTTCCCTACTATTCACAAATGTAACGAAATTAAGTCACAATTTAATCATTTTACTCATAATTAAGTTATGTTTGTGACCTAAATAAATGTGCAAAAACACACTTATCAGGGGTCAATGGGTTGTGACCTATAAAACCAACCCTATAAGATTCACCACAAAGCAACAATTAGTATTGGTAATGAGGTTCGCGTGGAGGAATAGGCAGTTGCATATATGGAACGGTTGGATGGTCGACGTTCGAAGAAATTTGCGTAACTTTTGCATACGTAATCTGTTTTAGACCAGCTAGTACCAAAGATTCAACTTACAAGGAATCATTCAAAATATTTATTAAAACTATTTCGAATAGAAAAAGGTTCCACTACGTGGGCCTGCTAGCTTATAGGCTAGAGCATCGCCACATCGGTGGTTGAAGAGATCTGGGCTTAGCTACCATTTCAAAACCAATGAAAAAAGCGAGATTAAATTGTGTCAAATGTTTTAATGACTACAACATTAGTGCTTGAAGTGATTTGGGCTCAACGACCATTTCAAAACCAATGAAAAAAGTGGGATAAAATTGTGCCAATTATTTTAGCTACCAAGATAGGAGTGGTTGCGGACGACTGGGATTGGGGACCATTCATTGGTCATTGGAGGGGTGCAATATTTTGCAACCATCATTATTAGTCGCTACCAAATGCCAGAACCAATGAAAAAAAGCGGGATAAAATTGTGCCAACTATTTTAGCGACCAAGCTATGAGTGGTTGCAGAACACTAGTATCAGGGACCATTCCATGGTTGCTGTTATGGTGTAATATTTAGCAACCATCGCTTTCGGTCGCTAAAACATGCAAAGACCAAAAGAAAAGGAGCGGGGATAAAATTGCGACAAATGTTTTAGTGACCAGGATATCACCTTCGGTTGCTAAAACATGCAAAGACCAAAAGAAAAAGAGCGGGATAAAATTGCACCAAATGTTTTAGCAACCAGGATATGAGTGGTTGCAGAAGACTGGGATTCAGAGACCATTCAGTGGTTGCTAGAGTGTGTATCATAGGCGGAAAATTTTTTGTTCTTTTTCTGCACTACCTTTACTAACCAATCAAATTTATGGTCCCTAATTCACTGAAACAGCTACCATTATTTGGTCACAATAGAACATAATAAAATTAGTCCAATTTTACTTGACTATAACCTATACCCACCATTAGTTGGTCGCGGAAAGTGTTTTATAGCAACCATGTTTTATTAGTCGCTAAGCCTTTGGTCGGTGGAGCCC